CATGCTGTTTTGGTTACTATAGCTTTGTAGTATATTTTGAAATCAGGGAGTGTGATACCTCCAGCTTTGTTCTTTTTTCTCAGGATTCCTTTAGCTATTCCCAACCCTCATTTTAAATGGTTAAATAACTTCAGTCTCATGGCTTTCATTACCAGCCACTCACTGCTGACCCCCACATTTGTATCTCCAGCCCAGATCTCTGTCTTGCACTGCAGACCCTGGATATCTCAGATGTATAAAAGGCCCTCAGAATGAACATATCTAAATTAAGTTCTTTATACTTCACCCTGAACTTGCTTCTCCTGGTCTACCCATTATAGTAAATGGCAACTCCATCCTTTCAAGTCACTCAGGCCAAAAACTTTGGAGTCATCCTTGACTCCTCATTTTTGCTCTCCCATCCAGTATGTTCACAAATTTCTCAGCTCTACTTACAAAATGTACCCAGAATTCAATCACTTCTCTCACTAGGTCCACTGCTGTTACTGGTCTGAGTCATTGTTAGCAGTCTCCTGGATTATTGCAAAAGCATCATAACTGGTCTCTCTGTTTCTCCTTATTCTCTTTTCTCAAAACAGCAGCTAGAACCGTCTTTTTAAAACTTAACTAAGATCATGTCACTTCTGTGCTCAAAACCCTCCAATGGCTTTCCAGTCCCCTCAGAATAAAAGAAGTCTTTACAATTGCCTAGAAGGCAATACACTCTCTCCCCATTCTCTCTCTGACCTCATGTCCTACAACTTCCCCTTACTCCAACCAGTATGCATCCTGGCCTCATTGCCCTCCTTAAACAGTAGGCATGCTCTCCACGCCTGCTACTCCCTCTACAAGGAATCCTCTTCCACAGATAGGCCCATGGATCACTCACTCTCTTGTTTCCTTTAGGTCTTTACTCAAATACCGTCTCCATGAGTCCTTCCTTGTCCACCCTATCTAAAATTGTAACTCATTCATGCACCTTTGCTGTTCCTTGCTATTCCCTTTCTTTGCATTTGCTCCTTAGCATTTATCATTATCTAACATGCAATATTATTTACTTGTTTATAGTCTATTTCCCCCATGAGAATGTGTGCCGAGGGCAGAGATTTTAGTCTGTTCTGTATCCCCAGCACTTAGAAGAGTGCCCGGCACAGAGTAAATGCTCAATATAATTGTTGAAGGAATTATCTTTTCATATATTTGTGTGTCATTCCACTTGTATCAGTTAACTATTGCTGCATAACCAAATCACTGCCAAATTTAGTGGCTTGATACAATAACAGTATTTTATCTCCCATTGTTCTGGAGGTTCCAAGAGCAAGCATCCAAGAAGAGCAGACAGAAGCTGTATTGCCTTTTAGGCTTGGAAGTCACCTAGTATCACTTCTGCCTTAGTCACAACCCACCTGGATTTAAGGGGGAGGAATGTAGAACTCTGTAAGAAGAGCATTTGGGATGGGACATGTTGTTCTGGCCATCTTGCAAAATGAGATCTGCCACATTCCTCCTCTGGCAACAATTTACAACCTTCCTATATGCAAAATACATTCATCTCTTCCCCCAAGACGCCCAAATTTCGTTGTGTTATGGCATCAGCTTCAAGTCCAC